TCAGCCTTCCTTCTGGTCCAGCTCTCACATCCGTAGGTGTCTACGGGGAATACCATGGCTTTGACTATGTGATGTCTCTACTCTTCACTATTTTATCGAGATTGGTCCTTGCTCTCCTCCAAGAAGGAAGCGTCTTCTGATTTTCTGGCTGCATTCTGCATTTGCAGTAATCTTTGCACCTAGAAATACAAAGTCTGCATTTCTTCCAAGTTTTCTTCTATTTCCCAGTTGTCAATCAGTCCGGTTGCCAGAATCTTGGTTTTTTTTTAATGTTTAACTGTAACCCAGCTTTCTTCTTTCACCTTCTTTAGAAGGCTCCTCAGCTCCTCTTTTGGCTATCAAAGTGGTATCATCTGCATATCTAAGGCTGTTAATGTTTCTTCTAGCAATTTTAACCCCAGTCTTGCATTCGTCAATCCCACAAACACACACACTCCACTTGCCTCACTGTCAACAGACCTCTGAGGATGCTTGCCACAGATGCAGGTGAAACGTTAGGAGAGAATGCAACTGTAACATGGCCATACAGCTTGAAAAACTCACAACAGCCCAATGAAGATACAACGACTGGACTTAACGTTTGGTGACCATATTTTAGTAGGTTGTTGTAGGTTTTTCTGGCCATGTTCTAGAGGCATTTTCTCCTGATGTTTCCCCTGGATCTATGGCAAGCATCCTCAGAGTTCATGAGGTCTGTTGGAAGTAGGAAAATGGGTTTATATATCTGTGGAATGACCAGGGTGGGACAAAGGACTCTTGTCTGCTGGAGCTAGGTGGGAATGTTTCAACCGACCACCTGAATTAGCATTTGATGGCTTGGCAGTGCCTGGGGGAATCTTTTGTTGAGAGGTGGTTAGATTAGATATTTTAGTAATATTTGGAGTTGAAGTCCAAAACACCTGGAGGGAAGGCCGAAGTTTGCCCATGCCTGAGCTAGAGATTCCCGGAGGGAACATTTTCATCAAATCTGTAAAGTGCAGACATTCTTCCCACAAATTGGGAAGCATGTCTGCATTGCATTCCCATGGCAGCCTTCCCCTGGTTCAAGACTCAAGGTGGCTCAATCTGGATGAAACATTGCTTCAGGGAGCTGGTATATTTGCCTTCAAGTCAACTTGGCCAACATCTGGGAGGCCTCTGAAGACCACCCGATGCCCCAGATTGAGCCAGATCATCCCTGCTATATCCCATGAAGCCATTCAAGCCACAGCTATTTGCCTTCAAGTCAACTTGGCCAACATCTGGGAGGCCTCTGAAGACCACCCGATGCCCCAGATTGAGCCAGATCATCCCTGCTATATCCCATGAAGCCATTCAAGCCACAGCTATTTGCCTTCAAGTCAACTTGGCCAACATCTGGGAGGCCTCTGAAGACCACCCGATGCCCCAGATTGAGCCAGATCATCCCTGCTATATCCCATGAAGCCATTCAAGCCACAGCTATTTGCCTTCAAGTCAACTTGGCCAACATCTGGGAGGCCTCTGAAGACCACCCGATGCCCCAGATTGAGCCAGATCATCCCTGCTATATCCCATGAAGCCATTCAAGCCACAGCTGGCCACGTGGAAGGCATGGGCACTTACTTTGTCGAAGCAGAAGAGGTTGATCTGCCCACAGATGTTGATCCTCTGAGGGCTGATGCAGAAGATGCCTCTCTTCTTGAGGCGCCGCTGGGCGTAAATGATGCCAGTGGTCAAGGCGGCTGGGAGGGCAGGGGGCACCGCAATGGTGATCACGTCCAGGGCCTTCTTGATCACCTCCCCAGCCTCTTCCTGCACAGGAGGAGAGAGGGTGTCAGGAGGAAGAGGAAGGAAGAGAGGGAGGAAAAGGAGGATGAGAGAGAAAGGGAGGAAAGAAGAAGAGAGGAGGAAGAGAAGAGACAGAGGACAAGATGAGGAAGAACGGGAAGAAGAGGAAAGGGAGAAATAGAAGGAAGAGGAGCGATGGAAGCAGAAGAGAGGAGAAAGAGACAGAAAGAGATGAAGTGGAGGAGGAGAGTGGATGGAGAGGAGGAGGAAAGAAGAGGGCAAGAGGAAGAGAGGGAGAAAAAGAGGGGAAGAAGAAGAGGGAGAAAGGGAGAAATAGAAGGAAGAAGAGCGACGGAAGCAGAAGAGAGGAGAAAGAGACAGAAAGAGATGAAGAAGTGGAGGGGGAGAGTGGATGGAGAAGAGGAGGAAAGAAGAAGGCGAGAGGAGGAGAGGGAGAAGAAGAGAGGAAGAAGAAGAGGAAGAAAGGGAGAAATAGAAGGAAGAAGAGAGGAGAAAGAGACAGAAAGAGATGAAGTGGAGGAGGAGAGTGGATGGAGAGGAGGAGGAAAGAAGAGGGCAAGAGGAAGAGAGGGAAAAGAAGAGAGGGAGAAGAAGAGGGAGAAAGGGAGAAATAGGAAGAGGAGCGATGGAAGCAGAAGAGAGGAGAAAGAGACAGAAAGAGATGAAGAAGAGGGAGAAAGGGAGAAATAGGAAGAGGAGCGATGGAAGCAGAAGAGAGGAGAAAGAGACAGAAAGAGATGAAGAAGTGGAGGGGGAGAGTGGATGGAGAAGAGGAGGAAAGAAGAAGGCGAGAGGAGGAGAGGGAGAAGAAGAGAGGAAGAAGAAGGGGAAGAGGAAGAAAGGGAGAAATAGAAGGAAGAAGAGAGGAAAAAGAGACAGAAAGAGATGAAGAAGTGGAGGGGGAGAGTGGATGGAGAGGAGGAGGAAAGAAGGCGAGAGGAGGAGAGGGAGAAGAAGAGAGGAAGAAGAAGGGGAAGAGGAAGAACGGGAGAAATAGAAGGAAGAAGAGAGGAGAAAGAGACAGAAAGAGATGAAGAAGTGGAGGGGGAGAGTGGATAGAGAGGAGGAATAAAGAAGAAGGCGAGAGGAAGAGAGGGAGAAGAAGAGAGGAAGAAGAAGAGGGAGAAAGGGAGAAATAGAAGGAAGAAGAAGAGAGGAGAAAGAGACAGAAAGAGATGATGAAGTGGAGGGGGAGAGTGGATGGAGAGGAGGAGGAAAGAAGAAGACGAGAGGAGGAGAGGGAGAAGAAGAGAGGGAGAAGAAGGGGAAGAAAGGGAGAAAGAGAAGGAAGAAGAGCGATGGAAGCAGAAGAGAGGAGAAAGAGACATAAAGAGATGTGGAAGAGGAGGAGGAGGAGGAGGAGGAGAGTGGATGGTGAGAAGGAGGAAGGGCAAAGGCAAGAGGAGAAGGAGGAAAAGAGAGGAAGAAGAGGAAAGGAGGAAACAGAAACAAGGAGGATAATGCAGGAAGACGAAGAGAAGAAGGAAGGAGAAGATGAGAGGGGAGACAAGAAGAGATGAAGGAGGAGGAGGAGGAAGAAAAGGAAGGTGGAGTGGCCCCCTCCCAGCTGCCTTCCGGCCACTCACCCCACTGAGGACAAAGACGCAGACGGCATAGACCATGCCAATGGCCGCCACCCCAATGAGGCACATGAGGAAGTGGAGGGCGTCTCTGTAGAGGCGGAAGTTGAGGGGCTTTGGGTAGAGGATGGACCGCACCAGGTCCCCCTTCGCTGTGTTGAAACCTGGAGAGGAACAACAGCACAACAAACAAGATGATGGTAATGGGTGACAAAGGCAGACAAGAAACATGTGGGGCTGAGAGCTGAGACCAAAGCCATGGAGATGGGAGGAAGAAGGACAGGGTGGTGGAAGAGCCTGAGCTTGAGTTCTGGCCCAGGAGCATCAAGAGGAGGAACCCAACTCTAAGGGGGAGGAGGAGGAAGGAAAAAAAATGTTCAATAGAAGGAAGACAAAAAGGAAGTGAGGAAGAAGGAGGGAGGAAGAGACGGAAAAAAGAGGAGGAGAAAGACAAAACAGAGGAAGGAAGAGAAGAGGAAATGGGAGGGGGCAAGAAGAAAGGATTGACAGTAGGGCTGGGCAACCACGGAAAAATTTGTTTCTAAACTCCATTCGTTTTTAGGGGGTTTTTGCGTTTCGTTTTTTAAAAGAATTCCGAAATTTTTCTTTAAAAAAGTTCGATATTTACGAAATTTCGGAAATTACGAAACAATTTCGAAACAATAACGAATCGATTCGTTAATGGCGGGCGCGATTGCGCAATACGCTAAAAACCCTCCAAATGGGACAGGGGGAACTTCTGAAGCTTCCCTCTCCCTCTGTTGTTGACTGTTGGTGTGATAATTTATTTTTTTATCACTGATAAAACAAACAACAACTATAAAACTTGCACCAGACATACAGAAATAATTACGAAACAATTACGAAACAATTTCGAAACAATTTTGAACCAATTACGAAACAATTACGAAACAATTACGAAACAATACGAAATATTTCGTTTCGATTTTTAGTTGCTCCTGAATGGTTCAATATCCCTTCGTTATCAAAAAAAATAACGAATTAATAACGAATTACGAAATTAACGAATGAAACCGCCCAGCCCTAATTGACAGTGTTCCCTGCAGACCTGCGTGAAGTGCGGCTCCTGCCCCATTTGTGCCCCGCTCTTTTCCCAAAGACTTATACTAATTTCTATTTTAATGATTCTATATTTGTATATTTTAAATTATACTGAAATGCTTTTAACGCAAGTCGTGTTGGGTCTCCTTATGGGGGAAAAAGGTGGGATATAAATAAATAGAGGAGGAAGAAGGAGGGAGGAGGAGGAGGAAGGAGGAGGAGGAAGAAGAAGGAGAGGAGGAGAGGAGGAGGAAAAGGAGAAGAGGAGGAGGAGGAGGAGGGACCAATGACCTGCATGTGAGCCCATCTGAATTACAAGTGGAGGTGGCCTGGGGTTGAGGCTTCTGCTTGGCAGTCCAAGCACAAAGCCTTGTCTGCTGGAGTCCCCAAATGCCCACCCTTCCTTGGCCCCAGAAGCCCACCCACCAACCTACCGGTCCTCAGGACGACAGCTCTGGCGGGTCCCTTCCCGACCCCCTTGGCTTGGATGAGCTCCGTCCCGCAGAAGAGGAGGTGCCGCCTCTGGTCCTCCGCACAACTCTCTGGCCATGGCCGGCAGTCCTTGGGGTCAAGGGGCAAGGCCGTCTTGGTCACCGGAATGCTTTCGCCTGGAAGAGATAAGGAGAGGTTCGGGCAGCCAAAGCCATTTTGCGCCACAACAATCCAGACGCAGAGAGCAAGTAACCTGAGAACTAGCAACTTGTGAAGAAACAAGCCACTCTAAACACCTTTGCAGAAGCATACGAGAAGCTCGGCCTGTCATTGAACATCGAGAAAACCAAAGTGCTGTTCCAGCAGTCACCAGTCAATCCCTCTCCAATGCCAGAGATACAGCTTAATGGTGTAACATTAGAAAATGTTGACCATTTCCGCTCCCTTGGCAGCCACCTCTCCACCAAAGTCAACATTGACACTGAAATACAACACCGTCTGAGCTCTGCGAGTGCAGCATTCTTCTGAATGAAGCAGAGCGTGTTTGAGGACCAGGACATCCGTAGGGATACCAAGGTGCTTGTCTATAAAGCTATTGTCCTCCCAACCCTGCTCTATGCCTGCGAAACGTGGACTGTCTACAGGCGTCACATGCAACTCCTGGAACGATTCCATCAGCACTGCCTCCGGAAAATCCTGCAAATCTCTTGGGAAGACAGGCGGACAAACGTCAGCATGCTGGAAGAAGCAAAGACCACCAGCATTGAAGCGATGGTCCTCCGCCATCAACTCCGCTGGACCGGCCACGTAGTCCAGATGCCCGACCACCGTCTCCCAAAGCAGTTGCTCTACTCCGAACTCAAGAACAGAAAACGTAATGTTGGAGGACAGGAAAAGAGATTTAAAGATGGGCTCAAAGCCAACCTTAAAAACTCTGGCATAGACACTGAGAACTGGGAAGCCCTGGCCCTTGAGCGCTCCAGTTGAGGTCAGCTGTGACCAGCAGTGCTGCAAAATTTGAAGAGGCACTAATGGAAGGTGAACGAGAGAAACGTGTCAAGAGGAAGGCGTGTCAAACCAACCCCAACCAGGACCGCCTTCCACCTGGAAACCAATGCTCTCACTGTGGGAGAAGATGCAGTTCAAGAAGAGGGCTCCACAGCCACCTACGAACCCACCCCCAGGACACCGAACTTGGAGGACCATCATCCTTGGACTACGAGGGATCGCATAAGTAAGTAAGTAAGTAAGTAACTGTAAAATAAGGTTCATGAAGCTAATTGGATGGGCTATGCCCAGGGAGATGGCTGAGCCTGGGACTTTTGGGTACTGTTACATTTTTCAGCCTTGAGCTATGCAGCTGCTTGCAGAGAAGCAGAGAGTAGCAGACAGAGAGAGAGTTTGGAGTGTGACATTGCTTCATGAGCTGCTGGAGGAAGGTTCTTCACATGGACAAGAAACATCATTTTGAATCTCTCATAAAAAGAGTCGATGCAACTGATCACATGATTATAAATATGTTGTTCTGAATTACGAGGAGTAAACTACTTGCTCTTTATTGTTCAACTGCGTGGTCTATTTTCATTTCTCTGGCAAGACAGTATGTGGACTGGTCAAACGTGAACTACGCATGATTTTCATTTTGTCATAAGTTGCTCTCCAGTAGCATCTGAGCAGGCTCACGTTGCCTGCCAAAAGAAGCATGGACACGGATGCACACACTCCAAAAGGCATGGGAGTCCCCCATGCGCTCCTCACCGGTCAGCATGCCTTCGTTGACGGTGCACTGACCACTGATGAGGATGGCATCGCAGGGCAAGAGGCTCCGGCCCGCTCCCAGCACCAGCAAGTCCCCAGGCACCAAGCCCCGCGACTCCAGCTCCTGGGCGCCTGTTGAGCAGAAGGAAGCCAAGAACAACGAGATTGGACATACAGACATACAGAATCTATGTCAGTAGTTCTCAACCTTCCTAATGCTGTGACCCCTTAATACGCTTCCTCATGTGATGGTGACCCCCAACCATAACATTAGTTTCATTGCTACTTCATAACTGTCATTTTGCTCCTGTAATGAATCGTAATGTAAATATCTGATATGCAGGATGTATTCTCATTCACTGGACCAAATTGGGCACAAAGACCCAATACGCTCAAATTTAAATTATGGTGGGATTGAGGGTGGGTATTGATTTTGTCCTGTGGGAGTTGTCGTTGCTGGGATGTATAGTTCACCTACAATCAAAGTGCATTCTGAACTCCACCAATGATGGAATTGAATCAAACTTGGCACACAGAACTCCCACGACCAGGCGAAAATACTGGAAGGGTTTGGTGGGCACTGACCTTGAGTTTTGGGAGTTGTAGTTCACCTACATCCAGAGAGCACTGTAGACTCAAACAATGATGGATCTGGACCAAACTTGGCACAAATTCTCAATATGCCCAAACGTGAAGGGGATATTCTCCTGACGTATTGCCTGTATCTATGGCAAGCATCCTCAGAAGTAAACAGTCCTTCATGAGGACTAGAAACTTGTCAGGCTTCTTAAAAACAAGGATTCCCAGGGCAGTGGTTTCCTTGGACTGAGCTAGACCAAGAAGCAATACCAACGATGGAATGGAACCAAACTTGGCACACAGTTCTCCCATGACCAACAGAAAATACTGGAAGGGTTTGGTGGGCAGTGTCCTTTGGTTTTGGAGTTGTAGTTCACCTACATGCAGAAATCACTATGGAATCAAACAATGATGGATCTGGACCAAACTCTACAAGAATACTCAATATTCCCAGATGTGAACACTGGTGGAGTTTGGGGAAAATACAATCTCGACATTTGGGAGTTGTACTTGCTGGGATTTATAGTTCACCTACAATCACAGAGCATTCTGAACCCTGCCAACGATTGAATTGGGCCAAACTTCCCACACAGAACCCCCATGTGGGCCACAGCAACGCGTGGCACGGGACGGCTAGTCTTCAATAAAAAAAGGATTGTTTTCCTACTCAGCGTGTGGTGTTTGAAAGTCAGAGGTTTTTTCCTGTTCTGGAGTGCAACAGGAACCATATTGCACTGCTGCAACTGTGCCATAAATCACACCTCTGCTAAGNAGTTCCTTGTTGTTGCATTCTGCATGGTGGACACAACCCGAAATGTGCCCCCCCCCCATCCTCAGAAAACAAAGCCCTGAACAACAATGCTAATGATATTAATGCCTCCTGCATCTTGAAAGCAGTCCTGGAGGACCTTTGTTCTCACCTGTCTCTTTGCCACAGACTGTGACCCGGACGCTGTTGTGGGATTCCACCAGGCGATGCAGCTTCACCGATTGCTAGGAAGAGGGAAAGAAAGGCACGGGTCAATGGGGCAAATGAGGCCCATCAGATGTTGGGGCGCCAAGAAGAGCACCCCTACTCATCAAAGCATGCTTCTGCTGTGCAGTTATAACTGTTCCATACTATTTTAGTGACCACTGTAACTACAGCCTAAGAAAGACTGTATCCTAGAGCTGGAAGGGATTTCCGAGGGCCATCCAGTCCTACCTTCTTCCAACAGCGCTGGAAGGGATTCTCAAAGGTCATCTAGTCGGCCCCCTTGTGTAAAGCCCGCCTTGATTACTGCA